CCGTCCAAACCGTCGGATTGCTGGTGGACCACAACGTGCAAATGCCAGCGCACTTCATGGACAGATTGGTCAAGTCTAGGGTTGAGAGACAGCAAAATCCGAATACTCGACGTCCTCAAGCCTTACATCACATCTCGGCTGAAGAGTATCTCCCTGCGGGTGGTACTTCCATCATGGACACGCCCGTCACCACGGAGGAACGTGCAAGCGCTTCTTCGGCAAAGGGACCTTCAAAAGGGCGTGAGAGGACCGGAGATGAGCAACATGGTGGCTGGAACGCCAATACCTACCAAGACTACATCGCCGGCAAAGGCCGAAACAAAGGCAAGGACAAAGGGAAGCAAAGGAACCAGTATCCAGAGGAGAACCTCCGGCCCTGGGACCGCGATGCTACGTCAACGCGAAGATGGCGGTGAGACAACACATGATCTACCTCATCTTCAAGATTGTGACCTCCGCGCTTCGCTCGTGGAATTCCATCGCGAATGCCTCTTTCTTCGGTGACGCCTGATTCATTTGCCATTTCAGGGGATCGTTACCGACGTAGATGAGTGTCACAACGTTTCTAATTGGGATGCAAAAGCTCTGATCTATATGTATCAACGTTGCGGCGGAACAAATTTTCTGACATTCCTATCGTGCCATCTTCCGGGTGAGCAGCGTCGGAGACGCAACTCATGGGGGGTGCGAACGGACTGCGATGCCTTGTCAAGTTCCAAGGTGTCACTATAAGAGCTGTGAGCAAGACCATGTAAAGTGCAAGGGAAGGGGGCACGCTACGCGTCCCTCGTCTCTAGGAGTAGGCTTGTGGTAGTGCTACGCACACCGCAATGCCTATCCATCCTTTCAGTATGACCGCCCATGCAACGTTTGGCTCAAGAATGAGCACAAGCTCTAGAAAGCATTGCCCATAGCTAAAGTGCTATTATCTTTGTGATCCTCAGAGTAGTCAGAGCTATCCCGTGCACAGACGATCCACCGCCGGCCGTGAGTGTGCAAAAGGAGCGAACAGTGGATCTGCCTGCATAGGAGTGCGTGTGTGGAAGTGGAAGTAACGGTGATCCAGCTTGTAGAGGGCAACCACGCCAACAGTCAATACAGCTCTTTGTGGGGTGAGCGATACAGAGAATTACCAGGATCAAATCCCCACGCAAGGTTCGTGCTGTGGAGGAAGACTTGCCCTGGCTTCCTTACCCTTCAGACGTCGAGGCTTTCAATCCTTCGAAGCCAGCACTCTAGGCGACCCTACACCCTCAACCCTAAGCCCTTAGCCCCTATAGAACGCTTTAAGGAACGCTTTAAGGAACCCTAAGCCATAAATCCTTATCCGTAAATCCCTAAACCCTAAACCCTTATCCTCTAAACCCCGTTACTGTAAGCCTGCATTATCTAAATCGACCAGGCTCCGAAACAAAAGTCCCTCAAGGTCTTAAGGAAGAAGCCAGAAAGCTGGAACATCCTTCTCCTACTAACTCTAAGGACAGGTACAGGGAGCTTCCGCACTCCTCATCCTTAATCCATGTTCCAACTTTCGGGGGTTCACCATACCCTGAGGCCCCAAAGTAGTTCCTTTTGGGGGTTCGTGTATAGAATCCTATAAGCTAATCCCAAAAAGGAGCTACTTTGGGGCCTATGGGTAAGCCCTTCCTGAAATAAAGCGTGGAGTGCAACCATGGCTGAGGCTTCTGCCAGCAGTCTCTCCGGGGTGGCAGACATGGAGATGGGGCCTACGCTCTCCGAGGTGCAGGGTTCATGTCCCTAAACCCTAAACCCTAAACCCTAAACCCTAAACCCTAAACCCTAAACCCTAAACCCTAAACCCTAAAGGCCCTAAGCATTTAAGCTTTGGCATCTGGGGCCTGGGTGTAGCATCCATGTCCAGGGCGGGAAATAGCCTAGTCAAGGTCGATCCTACCAAAACTGCAGGGTTTAGGGTTTAGGGGTTTAGGGTTTAGGGTTTAGGGTTTAGGGGTTTAGGGTTTAGGGTTTAGGGTTTAGGGTTTAGGGTTTAGGGTTTAGGGTCTAGGGTCTTTAGGGTTTAGGGTTTGGGTTTAGGGTTTAGGGTTTGGGTTTAGGGTTTAGGGTTTAGGGTTTAGGGTTATTGGGGTCCTAGGGTTTAGGGTTTAGGGTTTAGGGTTATTGGGGTCCTAGGGTTTAGGGGTTAGGGTCCAATACTGCGGGATCTAAAGTGGAGGGGTTTAGGGCTCCAGGTAAAGTGTGCTAGACGGTCTGGGTCAATAGTTTGTTAACAGTGCTCTGGTGAAATCCCAGCAGGTGGTCGGGTTGGCGAGAGCTTGGTTCAGGGCTTGCAGTTGGGGGGAAGCCTGAATAATTGCCAATGTGATTCCTTAGGGTTTCTTTTCATCCTGGGTTTGGAGTACCATACTTGAATACTTTTTTTGGTACCTGTTCCTTCAAGGAACCATTGTGAACTAAAAGTATATACCTTTTTCTCTCTGGCCACTTCAAGCTCCAATTATAGTCATATTTTAAGGGAGCCCAAGCACCCAACATCCTGAACCCTAAACCCCTCTAGTTATCAAGGCCCCTACATTATAGTGAACCCCAGAAAGTTGGAACATGGGTTTTGGATGATTCATGCTGGGTCTCCGTATACTTTACCTCACGGGCACGAGGATAATGATGTTCCAACTTTATGGTTTCTACTATACATTAGGTGCAGCCCAGAGAGCCCAATTCCCATTCATTAAGGAATATAGCTTAAATCATAATATGAGGCCCTATACAATTTAAGCCATTTTCCTGAACTAAGGGGTATTGGGCTCTCTGGGTTCTGCTATACATTAGGTGGAAGCCTGAAGCGTTGGATCCTGCCGCTTACGTTTCCCATGCTCGCGAGGTCGCGCACGACAGCCCGCCGCATTGTGCCGGCCGCCGTGGGTGACCTGTACTATTGCTATGGGGTTGAGGGTTTAGGGTGTAGGGCCTGCATGATTCGAAATCTTATTGATTCTTGTGGGTCTGCATGATTCGAAATCTTGTTCCTGGGGGTTCCCCCTGCGGTTTTCAGACATATTTAGATGCATTGTAGTAGCAACTATCCCGCTCAGAAACAACCCTAGTCCAATTGTTTTTGATCCTATTGTAACCGAGCAGCCAGACTTATGGAAGCGGTTTGCCTTGGTTGTATTCCGTCAGAGCAGCTTGGTAGGCTCGCTCTTACGAGGGATCCCATTCAGTATCAGAAAGCACAGAGCAGGTGGGAACCAAGTGCCGCTCGACTATGCGAGGCTGACGACGCATTCAAAGCTTGCAGACGGCTGCGCCCCGCAGCCAGCGACATGCTTGCGACGTCAGAAAAAATTGCAAATGCTGCATGTGGCGCAGGTGGTTGGCGAAAATTCATCAACAATTTCTGTACCTAGCTTGCTGTGCGTTCGACTGCCCAACGAGCTTCCCTAGCTAGCTTCCTTCAGCCCCCTCGCCGTATATGCCCCAGGACCTACAGTAAACCCTGCAATGTAAGCCAGAAACCATACCATGAGCAAAGTCGGTAATTACATAGAGCACACAAAAATGAACTGAATAATTACATACCAAGCGCGGTGGCTACCCAGATGGACCAACACCATCACACCCTGAACTCCTGAAGCGCGAAGCCCCGAAATCCCAAATTCTCCGAAGAAGTTCCGAACCCTGAAAGCAAAACCCCGAAGCTTCACCGAAACCGCACATAAGCCCTTCACGCCCGGAATCCCCAAATTCCGGGGTTGATAGCCTGAACCATTAGTAAGCCTAAAGCATAAGCCTTAAGCACCTAATCAACTTTTAAACCCTAATCCCAAAACCCTAACCCTGAACTCCTAAACCCCAAACCTATGAAACGCCTGAAAACCCCTGAGCCATCGGCACATGTGGCCTAGGACCCCGAAGTTCGCTGTGAGCCTTAGAACTCTTGATGTTCCAAACCTTGAGCCCTAGAAGCGCCGAAGAGAAGTGGTGGGGTTCGACTGGACACTGCAAAAAAGCACTACAATCGATAAATCCCATCCACAATCTGACAGGGAATGCAAAAACCTAAATCCTAAACCCTAAACCCTGAACCGCCGGAGAGGTGGAGGCAACCATGGCAGTGCCCAAAAGGGGCCAAGGTCGCCTCTGCCGCGTTTGGGAGCATTCGGATAAAACGCACAGAGCCTCAAAGGCATACCCTCTACCTATAGTCTCCATTGTAGTTCTTTTTTGGTTAACCAAACAAACTAATAAAGGATCTTAGCCATAAAATCTGATTAACCAAAAAGTTCGAGATTATAGGTAGTGCAGTAAGATAATGGAGGTTCCCTTCCTAGGCTGAAGCGGTTTTGGCGTGCATGAACAAGGTTCGGGTTTCGCCTTTCGACTTGGTGGGCTGGTTGGCGCTTCAAGAAACAGAGTTTAGGGTTTGGGGGCTTAGGGTTTAGGGTTTACACTTGGGCTGGATCATTTGGCGTCTGAGCTCCAGCTGAATGGTTCAAGAGGTCAGCGTGATGCCTTATTTACTTCGAGCAGCCTTCGGGATTGAGCTGCACCTTGCGAACCTTCGTAGTTGTGCGTTGTGGACTGGGGGAAATCTTTACAAAGATTTTCGAGGCATAGCGTCGAAGAGTTTTGTTTTTTTGTTGGAAGAGACGTAGAAAGGTTGAGGGCGAGAGGACAAATCAGTCTCGCTGTTTTTCTTTTGTGTTGACAAGCCCGATGTGTTTACGCAGATAGAGGGATGAAAACGTGCATGAACATGTTGATTGCGAAATTCAGCAAACTAGGAACCTGAAATCGTAGGATCCTTGTTGCAATGACCCCTAAAGAAGTTATTCGCATTTCCAACAAATGCCAGAAAGCCGTGTAAGGTCGCATAAAAGCCGTTCAAGCCTTTATAAACATCTGCGATACCGTGACCCCAGACCCTGACCCTACACCAAATCTAAAAAGCCTCAACCGTAAACGCTGTACAACCCTTACAAAATCCTGATAGTGCTACTAAAACCCTAGCATTTGGGCAGGTTCCGCTATTCTCCGGCGCCACGGACGCAGGAGACCCTTTCCACCGGAAGCCGTTCCTTTTTGGGGGGTTCAGGGTGGCCTGGGGGTAAACTTAGAGGTTTCTGGGGGTTGAGGGGTTCGGGTTTTGGTGTGTGGGCTTTTAGGGTCTGGGACTTTACGGGTTTAGGTGGTTCGGGACATAGAATGGGGATTATGATAGCCAGGGTTTAGGCTGTATAGGATTAGGGGTAGGGTTAACAAGGCCAAACGTTTGAAGCGTTTGAAGCAGTCACCGCCCAGTGCACATGGAGCAGTGCATCATGCATGCTGAGCGAGAAGACTCTGACCTTGAACTTTGAGTCAAAGGCTTTTGGACTTACTAGAGGGTCCTAATATTTTTTTTCCAATTTTGTGGGTTCCTTATTATAAGTATAGCATGCTGGGCCCCAAAAGCCTTTTCTAATCATTAAGGCACCTATAGTAAGCTTCAGATTTTGGCACTTCACACCCTAGGGTGGGGAGTGTATTGAGCTCTCTGGGTTTTGGGCCTTCTGCCCTAAACCGAAACCCTAGGGCGAAAGCATGGCTCTTGAACAGACGCGAAGCCCCGTTCCTAATCTTGAACCCTAAACCCCTAAACTCCAAACCCCAAAACTATAAGGACCCGAAACCATACGCCCCTAAACCTTTGTACTCAGCAGCATCATCAGCAAATGAGTTTTGCCGGCAGTGGCGAGGCAGAGTTGGAGCACTACACGGGTGGTCGTGAAACTTAGGGTCCCTTTTTGGGTACCCTAAATACTAGGTGCCGTACTATAATAGGAACCCAAAAAAGGGACATGGGAGTTTCCGAAAATTAGGGGTACCTTGTTTTTGGGTTCTTATAGTGAGGATCCTACTATTTAGGGTATTACATTAGGGTCCCCTAATTTTGAGAAACCCCGACATGAAGATGAAGGCCCAGCTCATGCCCGACTTCGCACAGGAGAGCACTTCTGGAATGGAAGCCTTGAGTTTGAATTTGGCCGGCTGCCAAGAGCCCATCCTGCCGGCGATCGCATTGCAGCATGGCAGCGGAGGCTTGACATATGTCATATGTGCCCGTGTAAACAGCAGCGAGGCGCCAACAGAGCCCCCAGCTTGAAGGAGGCTGCTGAGGATGAGCCGGAAGATCCTGACGTTGCCAAGGTGGAGAGTCTCTGCAACCCGACACCCCTATCCCTAAACCTTTTAAACTGGAATCCCTACACACCATCTACTTAACCTTTGGTTAGTAAGGAATGGAAGAATGATAGTAGTAGTAGTTATAATTGTACTTCATTCCTCCGTTCCCTACTAACCAAAGGTAAGTCTATCCGCCAGGATGCGACCGGCCAGGCGCGGCCGTTGTCCAAAGGGAAGGAGCCGGGGCGCTCGGGACTGCTGTTCAGCACCGGATGCCCAAAGTGGGCGGACCTTCTAGGGTTTTCGCCCTAGACTCTAAACTCTAAACCCTAAATTAGCCTAAACCCTAAACCCTAAACTTCTAAACCCTGAACCCTAAACCCTAAACCCTCAGGCGATTCAGCGAAAGTAGGAGCCCTCACCTTTGGGATTCGGACCTTGTCCTCTCAGGGTCCTTTAGTCCCTTAGAGCGGGTTCGGGTCTTGGGTCTGGCACAAGCCATCTCCTTAATATAGTGGCCTCGATAATTACCTATGCTATCTTGGGGGTTTCTTATTTTCAATAAGTATGGTATAATAGTATAATGGGCCCCAAAACCCTGTCCTGTTGATTATCGGCCCCTTTTATTTTTAGCCCGCTTCACACCAAAAACGAAAGTGGTGTAGGGTGCGGGGGTCTGCAGCGTTTGAGCTACTTTCCGTAGGGTTTCGACAAGATTGGAAACTGGCTTCAAGGAAGTTGGTTGATGAAATCGACGAGAAGGACATGCCAACGGTCATTGACAGTTTCGGGGCAGAAGCGGAGAAGGCAATTCTCCAGCATGAGTACGCAAAGTAAGCGAAAGCTGAACCCAAGTGAGGAGCCGAAGAGGCTTCAACATCATCGTTGATCACCAAGGTATTCCGAAGAGTCGCTGAACCTTAAACCTCAAACCGCGAAAGGGTATAATCCCTAAACCCGAAATTCTGATCCCTAAGCACAAAGCCCCAAGCACCTCCTAAACCCCAAACCCTAAACCTCAAATCCTAAGAGTCTCTGCGCTCGCCCAAAAGTCTTGCATGCATCTTTATACACAGAGCAACCCTTGCCACCGTTGCAGGTTGCCGCATCCACGCAACCGCGATGGCAGGGAGGCCCTTTCCGGACGGAGCTGTCCGAATTAAACCAGTTGCTTCGCTCCACAGCCTGGGCCGTCTCCTTATCCTTATTTGAGGATCGGGAAAACATGGCGACGACCTAGTGGAGCTCGTGGTCGGGAAGCGAATTACGGCCGCCACCCTTCGAGCGCCAGCTGCGGTAGCGGCCGAGTGCATACGTCCTCTCCCAGATGCTACCCTAAACCCTAAACCCTAAACCGTCTGCTCCGAATTATTCAGCCCCTCAGGGTTGCGTGCATTACGCCGCTCAAGCTCGTCCGCTTGCTCGATCCAGGTCGGCGCCTGTGACAGCAAAGGCAGGAAAGCCATAGCAAGCACGAGCGCCAAGGCAATCCGACACTGGCCCCAGATTTGCTATGTAATAACGTGTTGCAGGGTGGTATTATGCCGTTTCGTAGGCTGCACGTAGGTAACATTAAGGGTTTGGATTTAGTCCGCAATCGTATTCTCTGGCTCCCCAAAGCCCGAGTCGCCTTCTTCCGCTTTTGGATTAGTGCCTTCTAGCGTTTTGTCTCGGGTTTGGGGTTTTACAGGTTTGGGTCTTCTGGAGTGCTGGGTGAGAATTGCTCCCAGGTACGTCTGCGCATAGGGGAACCCATGCCCCAACAGGCTTAAATTCCCTAAGCCCCTAAACCCAAAGACCCTATAAATCCCTACCGCCCTGAAGCTGTACACCCTGAAGCAGATTTCGGGATTGAGGACTACGGTTTGTGCTTGAGGTTCAACGACATCATCTTGGCTGGTGGAGAAGATGCAGAGGCTCTGTTCGGCGATCGAAATGCAGGTTATTTTGGGGTTTAAGGTTCAGGGTTCTGGATGCAGACCCTAAACCCTAAAGCCTAAGCCCCTAAAACTCTAAACCAAACCCTAAACCCCTAAACCCGAAACCCAAGGGTTTAGGGTTTAGGGTTCAGGATTCAGTTTTAAGGGCTTTGGGGGTTTTAGATTATTGTTCCGGATGTAGGTCTCGGGGGTGAGGGTTTAGGATTCAGTTCTTTTGAGGCTTAGGATTAGGGTTTACATTATTTTTAGGGTTTAGGATTCAGATTGTAACGTAGGTTAAGATTTACGTTTTAGGGTCTGGGATTTAGATTATAGGGTGTGGGATTTTGGATTAGGTTGCGGGTTTGGATTTCAGGGCAGAGTTTAGCTGTGTAGTGGCTGGTACATGTTTAGACGGGCTTGGCTCCCCGAAGCTTTGGCCTCCGCTTGATTCCTACAGTTTGGAGGCGCGTGGAGTAGCCTTGCCCTCAATCTAATACCTAAATGGGTGGTTGTCAAAAGTATGGTCCCGTTTTTGGGAACCCTAGATATTAGATGCCGTATTATAATGAGGACCCAAAAAGGGACCCTAACATTGACAACCACCTATTTCAGAATCAGTCAGAGACTTTTGGGTTCTATCTTTGTAAATCGGCTGCGGACATACCCACGGCTTTGAGGCTTGGAGTGCTGGCCTCCTTCCAGACCCTGACACCCTGAGAACTCAAGTTGGACGGAAACTGGTGGTCCAGGGCCCTAAACCCTAAACCCTGTATACCCTAAACCCTCAACCCTACACCTGAACCCTGAACCCTGAACCCTGAACCCTGAACCCTAAACCCTATACCCTATACCCTATACCCTAAACCCTAAACCCTAAACCCTAAACCCTAAGGGTTTAGGGTTCGGTCCAACATCGTTGACCAGGTTGATGCTTGTATGCCTCTGATAAGATCCTCTCTGTACCTATTGGTCCGGGGTGTACTTTGCAATTTGCAGGGTACCTGGTGCCTCCAAAACGCGGTAACTCAGGAACATACCTGAGAGTACAGTATAGGGGGTGCTGATGTTGATTCGGGTGTATTCCTTCTTTAGTCCAGGAGTCCTGGCGTTTCCGGTCAGCTCTTTCTGGCGTTGGGGCTCATTTTCTTTGTCGTGAAGGTTGCCTGTTCGTTGGTCTTCCACCTGTGGTTTTGGGGTTTATGGGTTTGTAGGGTTTAGTATCTAGGTGGTTTCGATTTGCTGGTCTTGGTCTTAAGGGTTTAGGTATGCGGTGTGCATGCATAGAGTTTTTGAACGACCAGAGGACATAGTAAGCAGGTTGAAGGTAGATGCATAGACCTATATAGCACCTGCTTGGTTACCAGCGTCTCTGATCGCTTAAGTAGTGTTCGTAGGGCAGGGAGGGGCCCTCTCCCTATATCGACAGGCCATCCTGGTCTTCGCAAGCCATCATTTACTGGAGCGCCTTGGCGTTCAAAGCGTGAAGAAGTTTTCAGTCTGCTGCATGTTATTCGCAGGATCTATTAGCTTGGGGTAGCACCCATGAGCTTTGTCAAACACAGCAGTAGGCAGTTTTGTGTAACCTAACCCTACGACGATGACATGGTCGTGGGACAAGTCATGGAGCTGGCTTGGCTATGGCAGCTGGGGCTGGGCTGCCAGTCGGGGTAGCACCGAGTTGTGGGGGCAGGCAGCTGCGCCGAGTGGCGGTCCAATAAGTGGCGGTACAGGTCCTTCTGCGCCGGCAAGACCGACTGGCGGCGGCAAAGGTGCTGCGGCAGTGGTGGGTCGGCAGCCTCCGGTAACCTTTCAACGGCCTGCGGTTTAGGGCTCGGGACTTGTTAAGTAGCTGATTTATAGAGCCACAAGTCCCTTCAGGGTACTTAAAGCTCTACTTATTGCCTACTTACTAAGTCCTCCAACACATGCTGTGAGCGGGATCCAGGCTTTAGGTGTGTAGTTCAGGCTTGTTCAACTTTGAAGGAAGCCCAACCAAAAACCTCCCAACCTAAACCCCTACACACTAACCCCCGCCCTAAGCCCTGAACGCTGAACTCTAAACCTTGAACCCCCAAACCCCGAACCTGACCTCGAACCCTCTCTAGGCCCTAAACCCTAAGCCTAAGCCCTATAAATCCCTTTTAGGAACCCTATAGATCCCTGAAAGGAACCCTATACCCCGAGACTCCAATGTCTCTAAATGAAGGAACATTCCTTAAATCATATTAGGTCCTACTATAAATCAAGGTATACTCCTTCATTAAGGGATATTGGAGTCTCTGGTAGATCCCTTACAGTGCACAAAAGCTGCTAAGGCTCAGCGTCGTCAACGCCGTGACGGCGGTCCATCGGCTGGCCAAGTGTACCTGCCTTGGGAACGGCTTAGGGTTTAGGGTTTACGGTTTTAGGCCGGTCCGGGCGAAGGGTTTCGGTTTAATGGTTTCGGTTAGGGCGGTTAGGGTTTAGGAAACTGGTTAGGGATTCAAGTACCTGGTGTGGGAACAGGTTCGGGGTTTTCGGATGAAGAGCCGAACCCAAGGGGTTCCCTTAGGTTCCTTTAAGGGATCTGTAGGGATCTATACGGTTAGGGTTTTCACTACAAATTCTTTCAGGACGCAAGTTTAGAGGAAGAGGATGCTTTGGAGGAGGGGAAGCTAGATCGGGTTTGCCTTGGAACGATTGCATGATTACATGTCCTGCCGGCCAAAGTTGAGTTGGGGGACCTGTGGAGGGATATATATATATATATGTATATATATATGTATACATATATATATATATGTATATATATATATATATATATATACATATGTAGGGTAACCATGGGGGAAACATTAAGTCATGCGCTATAATGAGTTTCGTCCAGTGATCACATGTCCACCGAAATCCGAATCACAAGGCAGTTCGACAGCGCTCAATGCCAATGGGGTTGGCAATTTGCGGCCGCAATGCCAAGCTTTTGGTGATGTCGCAGAGTACATTCATTCATCGTCGCTGACGGGGTCACGCAAATGAGGCCACAGTGGGTACCTGCAAATCCTGTGCTGAGCAGATTGCAAATTCTTGCAGGAGGGAAAAGAGGCAGACGAGCGAAAGGCTGACGAAGCTGATGTGGATGAAGAGGAGGGGCGAGATTATGGCTTGCTTAAGAGGCCGCAAATCATGCTTCAGGAGCCAAATGAAGATGCTGACTTGCGAGAGGCCCATGCGCAGCAGGAGGAGACTCTTTCTCGGAGGGTTGCAGGGTTTACGGTTTAGAGGGCAAGCCTGCTACAGAAAATATCCGTTGCTGCACCTTACCGTTGTCAAAATGGGGGGTTTAGGGGTTTTCGGGTTAAGGACCGGTTAGGGTTTGGCGCGAAGGGTTTATGGGCTAATGGTTTGGGTTGGGGGTTTAGGGTCTTAGGATTTTAGGGTTTAGGAAGTTGGTTAGGGGTTCAAGGGTAAAGGGCCTACTTTACACTATTATGAAGGCTTGCAGGTCTCCTATCTCATAGATCTCGATTATAGATCCCTTTAGAGGATCCCTTAGACGAGCCCGATTCTAAGTTTAAGGTACCCCCAAAAGCCCCGAACCCGTTCCCAAGGCTCTAACGGGCTTTGGGCTTTAGCCAATGGTTGCTCGACCCCAAGCAAGCCCTGAGTGAGCCCCAATCCCGAAACCCTGAACCACCACTCCGAAACCCTGGAACCCCCAAATCCCAAACCCTTATAGCCTGGAATCCGAAGGGTTTAGGATCCAGGGTTTCGGGTTTAGGGTTTAGGTTTTATGAGCCCTTTTAGCCTGGAATCCGAAGCTCCAATGTTCGGGGTTTAGGGTTCAGGGCTTAGGGTCAAGGGTTTAGGGTTTAGGCTTGACGGTCCTGGTTTAGGGTTTGATTTGGTTTAGGGTTCAAGGTTTGGTCTTCCTTGGTAGTCTTAGGGAGATCCCTTAAAGGGGACCCTTCTCAACTGTACTTCTGGCTCTCTGAATTGACCTTATTGAGAAGGTCTAAACCCTAAACCCTAGGCCCTGAAGCCTAAACGCCAAGCCTAACTGCTTTCTCCAGAGGTCCCCTCAATCCTAACTCCCGGGTTTGCTTGGTTCTTGTCGGACGGGTTGTCAACGGGTTTAATTTAAGTTACCAGAATAAGGAAACCATATTGCTTGCTTAATTTACTATACATTCCCATTATAGGCATTATGGTAACTTAAAACCAATTCCTTAACAAGAACCCAGTTTGGGACCCTATCCCCAAAGTTGTAAGGCCCGGCCGCCACGCGAAAGGACCCACGACTGACGGCGCTCTTGGCAACTCGGGCTGCCAGGAATCCTAGGAAGCCCCCTTAATTACGGAATATAGCCTAAGGCCTACGGGTTCCTTAAAGGGCTCCTTAAAGGGATCTGTAGGGGTTCTATAAGAGAACTAAGGAACAAGTTTATGGGGTTGACTATACTAGGATGCCCAGTAGTACCCTTATTCGATATTCCCTTTTCGTAGTCCTAGGTTCCTTATAAAGGTACCCAATTCCAAAAAGGGAGCCCTTTTTATTCCTAGATTACTGGGCATTCTAGAATCACGATTCGGGGCAGTATTCCTTAATTCAGGCTTCCTTAATACAGGACTTCCTAGACCCTACGCCCCAAACTCTCAGAAACCTCCGTCTCTATAGTAAAAAAATCAAACCCTAAACCCTGAACCATGATGAGTTTTCATCAACTAAGGGGTTTTGGAGTCCTTGATCAAGTCCTAGACCCGAAATGCTAACTCGTTTGGCTCTGCCTAAGCCTTACATTCTAAACTCTGATCAATCCTCGGACCAGAAAGTTCCTCAGGACCCGCTAATTCCTGTAGTCGGCGCGGTATTGAGTGTGTAATCAGGGCTTCAGGGCGAAAGAGTAAAGGGTTTTAGGGTTTGGGGTTGCAGGGTTTCTAGGGTGGGATTCAATGGTTCCGGGCTCTGGATTGATTGTGACTTTTACAACCCCTTTGTAGGCTGAAACCACAGCCGCAAATCCGGACCCGCTGGTTTAGATTCGTTGGTTCTTGGGTTTCCAAGCCTAATTACAGCTGTAAATTGAAGCCAACTGGGATATAGCCGTAGTTTGAGTAGCCAGTTTTCCAAGGACAGATGTTTTCCCACTTCTGGCCTACACTCTTGGTGCTAGTTAACCGTAACTTTTCGCATACCTCGGCCGTAGTGACTATTCTCTTGGCCGCAAACCCTAGACTCTACAAAACAAGCCCCCAACGCCAAACCCTAAACCCTAGCACACCCAACCCCCTGAACCCCGAAAGAGCCCCGAAGTCCGTGCAGACCTAACGCCCGGAATCCCAACATCCTGAAGCCCGACTTGGGGGTCGAGGAACATAGTAGGTAGGTACTGAAAGCTCTGCGTTTTACCTACTTACCAAGTTCCCGACCTTCGACATAGAGTTAGAGAAGCATCCTGAGAGGGATCATCATTGCGGTTATGATACGTCTAACTCCACAACCCTAAACCCATCAACCCTAAGCCCATAACCCCTAAACCCCTAAACTCCAAACCCTAAACCCCTAAACCCCTAAACTCAAAACCCTATAAACCCCTAAACCCCTAAACTGAAAACTCTACACCCCTAAACCCATGAACCCACAAACCCCTAAACTCCAAACCCTAAACCCAGGAACCCATGAACCCACAAACCCCTAAACTCCAAACCCTAAACCCTTAAACCCATGAACCCATAAACACCTAAACCCTAAACCCCTAAAACCCATGAGCCCATAAACCCCTAAACCCTCAACCCCAAAACCCACAAACCCATAAGCCCAGAACCCCTAAACCCATGAACTCAGAAACCCTAAACCCTGCAGTCCCTGGAGCCTCCAAGTAATGCCCCGAAGCTCTGGGGTTCGAAGCCGAGGACCGCGTGCGGTACATGTTTCAGCCAGGGGCTCAGCTTTCACAAATAGGGTTCAGGGTTTAGGATTTAGGGTTTAGGGTTTAGGATCTAGAGTTAAGTTACGGTTTGGGCTTAGGATCTAGAGTTCGGGGTTTCGGGTTTAGGGTTTGGATTTAGGATCTGGAGTTCAGGGTTTAGGGTTGACATGTCTCTTTTATGCAAGTGGGGGCTCACAGGGTTCATGGTTTTAGGGCAGGGCTTAAGTTTGGAGTTTCGATTTCGTCCCTTTCTCTTTGCTTTTGGGGTGCAGGGTTTAGGGTAGGGCTTCGGGTGCCGTGCTAAGTCTATCAGGGCTTCATGCGGTTTGCACACATTGTGGACCATAGCCATAAGTATAGAGACTAGAAGTGGATATTCCCGACCTCTGTATCACGTGTTTGCCAACGGTTTTGGGGTCACGGTTCCTAGAGCCCGATGACATGGTCTCAGCTTCCTGCGTCGAGGTTTTGGGTTGTGGGACGCTTGGAGATGTTTTCCCTAGGCCCTGGACCCTAACATTAAAGCTCTCCAGTTTCAAGCCATAGACTTCAAAACCGTAAACCCTAGACACCGAGTCCCCACACCCTGAGCCAAGAATCCTGCACTTACTGTGCGACTTTTAGCCCGCAGCCCAACTTCATAAAGGCACAGATCGTCCCAAGACCCCCCACCCCGAAGACCCCTAAACCCTGAACAAGAAACTCCTAAACCCCTAAACACCTAAACCCCTAATCCCCGTCCCGCAGCCCAGATCCCCACCAGGGCCCCAACCCCTCAGCTGAGGACTTCCGTGCCCAAAGAGGCTACGCAAGGCCATGCGCCGGATCCCGAGATGGATGTAAGTCTCGGGCACCCGGAAGCTAAACCATAGACCCTGAACCCTAGGGTAATTAGGGTCCACGGTTCAGCTTGAGAGCTCAAGGGGTGGAGTTTGAGGGTTTCCGGCTCTGGTTTTTTTCGATGGGCAGGGCCGACTGGGTTGAGGAGCTTTTCAGTTTGGGGCTTTCTGCGCTGGGATTTCTGGCCATTGAGGAAAGCTTCGGGAGGTCAGTAAGATGTTTCAAGATTCCTGCGAGGTCTCTTTACTGGTCGAGTCCTCAACGTCCTTCAAGTGCATGTGCGGGGCAGGGGGCAAGAACGCAGCGATTTCAGACGACTTCCGTTTTGATTGCAAAGTGGGCACAAAATGAAGTCGGGTTTCACAGTCCGGATCTCTAGATGGGGTCATACCGTGCTCTACCGAAGATCCACGGCACTTGCAACCCGTAAATCCGGGTCTTTAGACCCTGTAGGGCCCTCGACTCCGAACCACGAAAAACCCTAAACCCTAAGCCGCTTAACCTCATCTGCAGTCTGAACTCTCACAGCACACGAGGTGGAACTTCCACGTCGACACACGCGCGCTGACCAACGTGGCATGGGCCCAGGCATCAGCGAATTCAGCTTCTAGGGACCTAGAATCTCCATTGTAATTCCTTTTTTTGATTAGCCAGCTTTATGGTTAGGACCCTACAATAGAGATTTTGGTCAACCAGAAAAAGAAACTACAATGGAAATTTTAGGTAAGCTGCATTGATTTCATCGCCCTAAGCCCCTAGGCCTGTGTCGGAAGCCCCAAGCCCTGCACGCTAAAGTAGCTGAATCTTCAGCCTTCCTGACGTCCAACAGCGGGACAGGCGAAGATGCAGCTGAGGGACCCGACCATGCTCCAGTACATTTCGGAGGAGGTGCTTTGCTCAGTTACTTGCACTTAGTAGGGTTCAGGGTTCAGGGTGTGGGGCTGAGGGTTCAAAATCTTTCGGCGTGGAGTGATTACAGAAGCAAGTCGCACGAAGCTGTTGTTGTTTCGATTTGCGGGTTGCAGGGGCCGAAGGGGGATGAGATTGACTCTCTAAAAGTTACCTTAGACCTTAAGCTACCATAGCCTACATTTTGTAGGATTATATTATTCAGCCTTGTATCAACTTGTCCGGTACCCTGCAAACCAGTATGTGTTGGTAAGTTAGTGTAGGTTTAGGGTTTAGGGTGGCGTGTGTCAGGTTCCCACAACGCCCCCAAAAGCACGGTGAAGAGGTCCCCACTCCTGTGCCTCCTAGTTTCGTGTTGTTTGCAGTAGCCAGGACCCAGGATGCATCAACCTGAAACTTATTGAGCAACAATCCCAACCCAACTCTAGGCCCCAATGCAAGTGGGTCGGCATGGTGCTTAAATTCTTCTTGATTCTTGGAGCCTCGCACAATGGCTTCGTGATGTACGAAATGGAAAACATGAAGAACTCAGGACTCGCAAGCAGCTGATCTAAAAACCCTAAGCCCCAAACCCCTGAACCCTAAACCCTTAAAGCTCACACCTCAACTCATCGTCTGCCTAAACAATCCGGAGCCCTCAGTCCTAAGCACTCAAGGTCGCAGCGAGGGTGAAGCAGTGTACCGCGCAACAAATTGTCGCGCGGCCCAGATTCAGAGTACCATCAGATGGAGTGAGACACAAAGCATATTCAATTATTTCTGGTTTTCCTATGCCCCTATGTAAAGCGTTTGTGAGTGTGGTCTCTGGAAATTCCGTGGGCGTCAGCCAGCTTCAGATATGGGATTTCAACATTGTTCAGAGTATATCATCAGGCTGTTGGGATCAAAGAAAGCCAGGGTAGCGAATGCCACGCGTCTCAGCAGAACTTACCTTGGTCGCTGAGCTTAGTCATAGTCGTTTTCGATGTATCATCTCAGCTGACTAACATGTCCACTCAACCCTAAACCCTAAGCATCCCTAAACCCTAAACCCGAGTCCCCAGGGCTGCCAGAGAGCCAAACACGCCTTCTTCACCGATTTAGGGTTTGTAGGCTTTAGGGTTTAGGGTGATCTGCCTACAATTTGCAGGAGAATCCTGGTATGAGAAGTATTCGGTGCGGGGCTTCAGCAGCCCTACACTCAAAACCCAAAGCCCTGAACCCCCAAAGTTCCTCGAGGCTAATTGCGCTTGGGCTTTTGCAACGCTCGGCCTGAAGCACACGAGGCGGATCGAGGTTCAGGTTTTGGCCCCGGGGTGGTAAGTACTTGTAGGCAGAGCGTCGAGTTTTTTAATAAGTACCCTAAAAGGGATCCCAGTTGGGTTTTGAGTTGTAGGATGTACTTGGAGGGTTGGGGGAGTTGATAAGTTAGCAGCAAGCAGAGTCATAAGTACCCTATTAGAAGGGAATCCTAAATAAGGTCATGATACTTCTAACTTTATCGAACCTAGCACAGCTACCTACTAAGTCCCGGGACCCTCCAAGTACGTAGGGTTTGCCTAAACCCTAAACCCTCGGGTTTGGGACCTCAGTGTTTGGTAGAGAGCTCAATACCTCTTTAGGCAGGGAATACCAAGCGAGCCCAGTACCCCTTAATTAAGGAATATGGCTTAAGTCATAATACGAAGCCCTATATAATTCAAGCCATATTCCTTAATCAAGGGGTATTGGGCTCTCAGGGTAGCCCTGACAGCAGAATACAGTACAGAGGGCTTCGTCTTCCGACCCTAGATCTCTTTGGATTTAGGCCCTACCTGGACCCTGAAGAACCTACCTTTTTAGGGTTCCCTAATATGGTTTCTTTATATAAGTCCTTAAAAAGGTAGGTTGATTGGGGTTAAGGTAGGCCCTAAACCCTGAGCCGGATTTCAGAGTTTAGGGATGAGGGCTTGAAGTTTAGGGTTCAGGGCTTCAGGTTTAGGGTTTGGGTTTCAGAGTTTCTGGGCTTGGAGAGTCCTGGGCTTCGCGGCTTAGGGCTTTAGGGTTGGATTTCAGGGTCTGGGGCCTTGGGTCCACCTGACTGAAGTGTTAGGCGACTTGGTAGCTTAAAGTGAGGAGGCGAGAAGCCCTCAGAGATACCAATAACCCCTTCATTAGGGAATATACCTCAAATTATGGCAGGCTTCATATTGTCATTTAAGGAATATTCCTTAATTAAGGGGTATTGGGTTTTCTGAAAAGGCTAGAAGCTTATGTCTAAAGGTGGCAGTTCATGCACTAAGCGTGCCGGTGGGCAGCCATTCCGGACCTGTTGGCGCAGGCCATGAATGCACCGAAGAAGATCAGAGTGGTTGTCAAAATTATGGTCCCTTTTGGTCCCTAGTATAGTACGGCGCCTAGTATTTAGGGTACCCACAAAGGGACCATAATTTTGACAACCACCCATCAGAACCTTGGCGATGAAGAAAAGCTAAAGGCATCGACAGACGAGTGCGGACGCGCGCCCGCTGCGTATTGCAAGCGGGACCGTTTCGGTCTGTTGCAGCGGGTAGTCGCTCGGCGTCTCGGCAGATGTCCTGCACACTTAGAGATCCCAATATCCCCTTAATTAAGGATTATACCTTAATTTCAGGGGGCTTCATATTATGATTTAGGTTATATTCCTTAATTAAGGGGTATTGGCTTCTTTGAGTCCTTGTAAGTGCCGGAGGGCCGGAGCTTGAGTTGTTATGCCGGCCCGCTGTCGCCGCCGGGCCGGCGTAGGAGCAGGAGCCCATGCCCCTTGATTAAGGAATATAGCGTAAAATATATAGGGCTTCATATTATGATTTAAGCTATATTCCTTTATTACGAGGTATTGGGCTCTCTGGGTTATGCCAGCCCACTATGTCGCCGCGGAGCCGGAGCAGGAGCAGCAGGAGGAGGAGGAGTAGTGGTGGTAGCATTAGCAGTATTAGTGGTCGTCGTACCTTGCAGCAATGCAGCCCAATGCAAATCCCCAGAGAGCCCAACACCCCTTAATTAAGGAATGAAGCCTTTGCTCCAAGACTCTTCAAAATCCTGTAGGATGTGTTACCCTCAGCCATATGAACGATTAAATAGGGTTCATATTACGAGCTTTAGTGCGTCAAATATATGTACCTATATATGTATATATGTATACTATTGTATTTTGTTATGTTATGTTATATGGGATTATATGATATGATATTATATTATATTATACTTTTACGGAGTAGCGAGTATGTACGGACAGCGAGAGAGCGAGAGAGAGAGAGAGAGAACGAGAGAAGGAGGGAGAACCTCACAGTTGGACCAGGGAACAAAAGGCCTTTGACTAAGCATACTCGCCTCAAGCAGCATGGTAAAGTACGTCTTCTACCTTCAAAGAAACCCCGAACCCCATACCCTTAAGCCCCGAACCAAAACCCACAAACCCTTAAGCCCCTAAGTCCTAAACCCACAAGCCCTGAAGCTCATAGAGGCATAAGCCCAGACCCATATAGACCCTTAAGCCCTAAACCCGAAACTCATACATCTCTTAACCTAGCCATTGATATTGGGGAGCTAAGGGAGCCAGGGATGATGATAATCCCTATTAAATAAGGAGCTAAAGAGCCAAGGGAACCCCCAAAACCACTGGTTAGTAACGCTCGCCCTCAATGACAGGCTGCTGACGGCCTTGACGAGGGAGGCCACCGGCCCCTGTCTCCCGACTTTAACTTTTACAGCAACTTGCGGGTTTTGATGCTTTTTAGAGTTTAGGGTTTTTACGTAAGCTTAAGGACTGGGTTTCGGCTCTAGGGGTTGAGGCTTTGGGCTTCAGGTTTAGGGTGTAGGGAGCATCCTACCGATTTTTGAAGTATTCTGACGGGCGCGTCACGCGCAGCATTACGTCATCATCCGTCTACTAGATGTATGTACCGCGGTTTTATGACTCTGTTGTGCGTGCGTGTGTGTGTGTGTGTCAAGTTTTTTTCCGTTTTCTCACGGTGTACCCGGAGTAGAGGTACTGTAGGTGTACTCCTTGCCAGAAGTATTGTGAAGCTGTGCTGTTTGTTGCAAGCCTCGTTCAGCCAACGGACCCTCCGAACGCTGACCAAACCTTAAAGCGACAACAGGTGGTTCAGGTGGTTTAGGGCGTTGAGAAATTTACAGTGTTGAGGGAATCAAGACCGATCTGAAAAGATCCCTGTTGTGGAGCCGAACATCAAAGGCTGAGGCGCTCAACCCTTCTTAATATGCGCAACATGAGTATGAGGGTCTCAGGTTCGGGGTTTAGGATCTCATACTTGGGGCATAAACCTTCTTTTTTTTACAAGCTCTTCTACAAACTACCAGGTTTTGGTCGCGAAAGTATGTTTAACATAACTGTAAATGAACAAATAAATACATAGACAGACAGACATACATACATACATATATATATATATATATATATATATATATATATATATATATATATATAAGTGTTTGGAGACACGTATTATATATATGTATTTATAAATGCTTCGAGAGTCCGGTCAGGCCGTTGGGCGGATTGCCGAATTCAGCCCTCAGAACTTGATGTGCCCGGCTCTTAACGGATCCCGTAACGTAAAGGAACCGTTGCAGATCCCTTGGGAAAGGATCCCTCATGGGGAGTCAATGGAAAGGCTTTCGTTCCACTTCATGGAAGCAGGATACAGGGCTCAATCTCGATGCCGAAATGATTGCCAGCATTTTTTGATATTTCTCAGGGTTCTTTGTCACCCCAAAACACTACTCCAATTATTCATGCCCCTGTAGAAGAGCTTGGTCAAGAGAGAGTTGTTTTCCACTTCAATGGGTTGCCTGTTCAAAGGGTCAGGGTTGAGGGCGCAGGGTGGGGGAGGGGGCGAAGGGATGTGCTTGGTGTTTGAAGTTCAGCTGGCTGAGCCATAAATCAGGGCAGTCAAAATCTCACCCGGAAGTTTGCTTCAAACCTTACTTAGCAAGTCCCCTGAACCTCCAAGTACAGTGTTTAGTGTAGAGTCCTAATAGAACCCTATATAATAAGAACACGACCAAGTCCCCTGGTCCTCTTCCTTAAAGAGATGCTTTAAGAGGTTCTTTTGAGGTTTCCAGATGTGTTCTTCTCACGCCTTTTTCGTTTAAGACGTATCGGTATTCGGCTCACTGAGTTCGCCACGGACCAGGAGTTTACTACTTAAATTAGAACCCTGCATCCAACTCTGTCAGAGCGTCCAGGTTGTGTGTGCTATACTTAGGGCGTCTTTTCGTTGTTGTATTTAAAGTAATATACCACGAAAAACCCTTTCTAATTTTTAAGGCCACTATTTTACTCGGGGATTTACACCAAACCCTATTTCTATTTCTGAAGGCCCCCCCATTCTACCCGGGGATATGCCTCTAAAAACGTATTCTAATCAAATCATGAAGGGCCCCTTCTGAAGGGCCCAATGTTACCAGGTGTCCACTCCTGGGCCAAACACCTGTCCAAGAACGGGGCCCGGCGAAGGTTCCCGAAGCCATGAAATCAATGTCGAGTACAATCCAGGTCTTCTTTGGGCATGCGCCCGGCTGCAGTTCCTGCATGCAGCCCAGCTTGTCGGGTTGGGCATTTGGGAACGTTGTTGTCGAACTTTGGCAAGTACTAAAAAAATTCGCAAGGGCATGGATTCCCAAAGGTACAATCGCGTCCGCAGTGCGGCCGTAGAACACAGATTCCGAACCAACGCCTTAAACGGCCATGAGCCGAAAGTCTGAAATCGCCTGGGCGCGACATCGGTGGCACGGCCTCAGGAGCGGCGGTTCTGAGTCGGAGCTTCCAGGTCTTGGTATATTCCTGAATGAAGGGGTATTGGGATCTGGGTACATAGCTTGTCAACCTGAACTTCAGGAGCCGGGAGCTTTGGCTGTGGGTTCGGCTTTCAAATTCCTAGACCCTTAAACCCGAAACCCCAAACCCTCAACCCTAAACCCTACACCCCTAAACCCTCAACCCAAAACCCTAAATCCTTAAAGCCAGTTAATCTTCCGAAACCCTTACCTCCCAACATCACACACACACACACACGCGCACAGCGACAGAGTGCAGAAGCTCGAGGCACCTGCCGCTGTTACGAGCTGCTGCGGACGGCCTTGGGGTATGAACCGGGGCTTGAAGTTTAGGGTTTGGGATTTTTGGTTTAGGTGTTAAGTCGCCCGATGGATACCTATACTAGGACCTCAGTAATACCTGGTACTCTTTTTCTTTGGGGTTGAAGGGGTTACTGAGGCTTCAGGCTGCTATGGACGTCACGAACATGGGCACCTCGCTATTGGTTTAGGGTTTAGGGTTTAGGGTTTAGGGTTCGAAAAATGTGTACACCACAGGTGGTTCTTTCGAATTCGGGCTGGTTGTTTCGAATTAGGTTTTCCAAGTCCTGGGCGGGGCGATGAAGAGCAGACCCTAAACCCCTAAACCCTGAAACCCTAAACCCCTAAACCCTAAGCCCCTAAACCCTAAACCCTAAACCCCTAAACCCTAAACCAAGAGGAAGCAGGGGAAGAGGAAGGCAGAAGGCGACCCGTTGGGTCATCTCCAGATCCACAAGAGTGCGGCAGATGGAGTGGTGAAGGAACCGGAGGTTCCTCAAACAAAGCGGTGGTTTAGGGTTTAGGGTTTTGTTCAGTATTCCGCCCCGGAACACCATCCAAAGCCATGGCGAAGGCTTGGAACACGACCGGGATTGGTTTCTGTCCTGTGTCCAGGCTGCAGAGAGGCAGGAGGTAGGTAGTATAGAGGGACGACTAAAGGACTATGGGTTGGCTGTCGACTCCTGCTTTGGGGTTTTGGCAAGGAAGCTGGTATCTCCGAAGCTCTACTAGGAGCACTTCCTGACTTTTGTGGGGTTTGTCGACAGCTGGTTTGGTGTCGAAGATGCCGGAAGACGACCTGGAGATGCCCTGCGTTGCGTCGTTCACTTAGTTGGGGTTTGAGCCAGAACGGTTAATTAATCACATAGAACTTGGGTTCATGGGTTCTGGCCGCAATTATGTATGAGCGCTCTCAATTTCCTAGGTTGCTGCCTTCTGCCAAGCACAACCTCAGAACTCATGACCCACCCACACCACTTGAAGGGTCCAACCAACAGAAGGGCTCAGAAGGCTCTATTCAGCACCCGGGTCAAAAAATAGATTTCGGGTGGGAATGAGCGATTAATCGGTGGAGAAGGTATGCTCAGGGGTGAAAGCACTATGAGAGGGGTTGAAAAAGTATGTTCGCGGGTTAATTTGTCTGTGTCACTGCCGGCAAACACCCCTACAGATAACTTTTGGATGTCTCTTTCGGTTGATATTCCTTATTCTTGTTCACCTGTACCCAAAATGTTTGAACAAACACCTAAATCATAATGCCTTAAGAACCTTAAAACTTACAGCCCGAGACACATAAGTTGGTTGTTCCTTTACATCGCCCAAGCCTACACTTTGCTGTTTTTGTGGGCCCTCCCCACCCCTCAATTGAAGTTTGAATAGTGGTTATGCTGCTTTTGAGCATTCCGTTAATAATGGTCATATGTTCTGGCGGAAGTCACCATCTTACATCCCTGCGATTTTTGCCACAAGAGCTGGCGCTTGATACCTAAACCTTACTATACCCTGAAACTTAAAAATAATCTATAAACGCTAAACCCTAGAATCAAAGAGCTCTGCGCTTAAACTTAAACTGAAGCGAAAACATGCAGGAGATCTCCCCCGGCCGTCTCGGCCAATTTTCGCCACAGGCGCGTGTTGGCATTTGTGCAAAGATGGTCCCAAGGTAGTTTTGTAAGAGTTTTCCCTAAACTCCTAAACCAAAAAGTCCTGAACTGTAAATCTTGCCATTTTTGCGATCATCTTCCTGGGGGTTAAGGGCTGTTTATTTTGGGGATGAGGTTTGGGCTGCGCTTGGCTCTTCTGGTCTACTTCTAATACATCGGGATAGATCGGGTTCTTACTTAAAGGTTCGGGGGACTTAGTAATTGGGATACAAGTACCTTAATGAGGGCGGATATAGCTATAGCTACTTTATTTATAGCAACACCTACTAAGTCCCTTGAACCTTTAAATAGGATGCTGGCAATGAGAAAACTACGGTTGAGCGATCAGGCTGTTTTGGAAGAAACGCACATTGACAAGGTAACAGTCAACATAAGTGAACTGTGGGCGATTAACCAGTACGTTACTGTAGCTCTATGATTGACCTGCTTATGACTGTGACATATATATATATATATATATATATGTATGTTATATCATATGATATTGCCTCATATTATATCATATTTTGTTACATTATTTTATAGTATACTATTTTTTATATATAATATTTGCCCGACTAACTGGGAATATGAATCTTTTCGTTGGCACCCCATGGTACAATCGCATGTATATGATGTGCTCCACACCCTTTTCCCCTTTTCCAGTTGTATAGGTCCCTGTCTTGATCGACGTTATTTAGCCTTCCTTCTGGAGGTAGGGTCTCGGAATTTCTCTGATTCCTCTTCCGAGGGAGCTATTATAAAGCCGAAAGACGCTGATTCTCAAGCACGGTCTTTCTACGTCTGCAGCCCCAATCTCCGGGAAAGTTGTAGAAACCCGGAGTGCGCACCGGAACGCGCCAGGGAGCTAGAGAAAGGCTAAGAAATAAGGACAGTGCATTCAACTTTGAAAGCTAAACCGATGCTAGGACACTTGACACGGTTTAGGGTTTAGGGTTTTAGGCTTACCCAGAATACCGGGAGGATGTAGAAAGTAGATCCCCTAATTTGGGGCCCTATACTACTAAGCGTAGTATTTATAGGAACCCCCATTAAGGGATCTACTTTTTGGATCTTAATCAGGTTCCTACATGATTATAGTACCCTTATAGATCCCTTATAGTAACCCTTATAGACCCCTAGGGTTTAGGGTTTTAGGCTTGGGGTACCGCCGAACCCCCTGGTGCAGCATCTCTCCATCGTGGCCTGGGCGGTGGCGACCCTGGGCTTCCGGAGCGAATCGCTGATGGACACCCGGGAGGGCTTTGTTCATATAGGGGGGGGGGGTCCCCGAAATAGGGGACCCTAAGATCGTACCCTAAATAGTAGGATCCTTGCGATAAGAACAAAATTATGGTCCCCGTTTGGGTACCACCCATTTAGGGGCTTGAAAACTATTCAAGCGAGAGCCGTCATCGAAGCCAGAGACCCACTTTGAGACCAGGCAGTGATCCGTTCTGGGTGAAGGGGGCGTGAAGTAGCTTGGTTCATGTCATGAAGACTTCCACAAACCTGTAGAACGTGCGTGTATAAGCTTGTACAGACATCCTTAAGTTTATCAATCCCTCCAAGGAACCTAGAAAGGGAACCTTCCAGCATGATCCCAGACAGTACCACTATGATTATAAGAGTCTTCACACCCCGTGAACCCGTATACAATGCCAATGCAATTTTTGAACACCGCCAGAACACCCTTTGTCAACCGCTTTTCATGACCCTAGCCCTTGACCCAAACCCTTCAATACCCCCAACAACTTCGACCCACGACCTGTTCAAGACATTGTAACCTTAAACCTCAAATTCTTACGAAACTTTTTTGAGACGTAGCTCCAAAACCCCAAAAACCCCAAACCCTAAAAGCCCTAAGCCTAGGGAACCCCCTTGCCAAAACCCCTTTGCGACATGGCTCCACACATGTCGCATTTAACGAAACCTTGTGGAACCTTAGAAATAGCACCTTTATGGGAGTTTCCGAAAATGAGGGGCACATCATTTTGGGGGTCCTTATAATAAGGATCCTCTACTTTTTAGTGTAGTATATTAGGGTTCGCTATTTTCGGAAACTCCCTGAGAACCCCATACAACCCGATCAGGACCCCTATAGATCCCTAAGCCCCATCGACCCACGCCAGCATTTTTTAAGCCACGGCTCCAAATCGGATTCACCCGGCCTGAAACCCTAAACCCCAAAACCTTAAACAAAACCCAAACCCTGAACCCTTATAGCTAAGCCCAGGACCCAAACCCGTATAACTAAACCCTAAGCCCTAAACGCCCATAGCTCAGAACTAAACCCTAAACCCTAACCCCTCAAGTCCGGAAAGCCGAAACTTGAAACCCCTAATTTAATATTTGGAGGAGGCCCTTGCTGTCGAGGCAACGAAGTCCATGCGGCGCTTCACCGCACAGGCTTATGGAGCTTCAGGGTCCAGGGTTTGGTTATTCAAAGGGTAAAAGGAGGGACCCCTAATAAGGACCCCTAGGTATATACCCATAATATAGCCATTATATACCCATTATATAGCCCATTATAGGGTAGGGGTCCCCATTAAGGGTCCCTCCTTTTCCCCTTTGAGTTATGAAGGTCTGAGGTTTAGTTTTGGGTTATGAGGGTTTAGGGTTTAGTTATGAGTTGTGAGGGTTTAGGGTCTAGGGTGTAGTTATGAGTAATGAGGGTGTAGCGTTCAGGGTTTCGATATGAGGGTTTAGAGTTCAGGGTTTAGCTATGAGGGTTTAGGGTATAGTCATGAGTTGTGGGTTTAGGACTTATAGGGTTTAGTCGGTTTAGCTATGAGCTAGGAGCGTTTAGGGTTCAGGGTTTAGTTATACGGGTTTGTGTCCTGGGTTTAGTTGCGAGGGTTTGCTGTAGGGTTTAGGGTTGTGTTATAAGTGCTGAGGGTTCAGAGTTTAGTTCAGGGTTCAGGCTTCAGCGGGGTCGTGGTGGGGATGCCGCGCTGCAGCGAAAGCCCACCCTACCTCCCCCCCCACAAGCACTGTGTACTGGGTGTCCTCCGTGTCGCTTCCACAGTGACGTGTTTTACTCGACCTGGAATGCAGTCGGTGCCAGGGGACAGTTCTTGGAGGATCAGGGGACTTAGTAAGCAAGGTCATAATTAAGGTAACTATAGCTATATATATGTACTTATCACCTGAAGTAGGGTACTTATAACCCTACTTACTTGCTTCGAGACAGAGGCCACGAGGTCGCTGGCTTTTGCCTGGCCCTTTGTCTGCTGTGCCAGCGCATGACCTGCAGCCGTGCCCTGTGCACGACCAAGCCGGGTGGGGCGGCACATGACCACCACGACTGCTCACTTTGTCACGTCCCATGCCGGAGCCTCAAAATCAGTGTCAGCCGCTTTGCTGGGTCGAGCAGCCTCGAGGCAGTCACCGAAGACGTTAAACGCCTCAGTCTTCACATTTTTTCAGGCCGGAGAACCTAAACCCTAGGCTGTACACCCTAAGCCCTAGACTGTTAATCTCAAGCTCTTGCGCCGTAGTTCCTGAAGCAAGAGCCGCCTGAGGTCTTGATGCCCTGCACTTCACAGCTTACTGTCAATAAACCTATATGTCCTCGGAGGATCAGGGGACTTCGTAAGTAGGGTGATAAGTGCCTTAATATTGGGGTCATAAGTAGATATAACTATAGCTACCTCACGTATGGCCCTACTTGCTAAGTCCCCTGATCCTGAATGTGCGGCCCGAAAAGCCGGCGCCGTTGAGCCCGAAAAGCCGGCGCCGTTGAGCCCAAAACCCCAAGGGGGGTTTGGGGGTTTAGGGTTTTGGGGTTTTAAAGTTTAGGGCCTTGCAGTGGTAGGGTTGAAAGCTTAAGCCCGATACTGCAAAGGTGTTGGACTGGCTCTACATGGGTAGTTCTCTAAGTCGGGTCTGCTTTTAGTAATTTAGGTCCCAGAATAGTACGGCACCCTTATAAAGAGGACCCCGAAACAGGTCCCTAGTTGAAAGAACTCCCCACAGCCCATACAGCCTTGCATGTCCAAACGCATTGTGCTTCAGATCCCCTAAACCCTAAACCTCCACTCGCAGGCTCTCCCTCACGTCGGCCTCGTCCCCTAGGGCCCCTACCCCCACAAGCTTTCCCAGAATCTTGCGAACCTGGTTTGGGCTTATGCGACTCTGGATGTGCGCCGGGGCCTCAATTTGGGTGAGAAAGAGCTCGAACTATAACAACAGAAGGGGCGATGTGGGAGTGTTCAGTAATGCCTTTCATACAACCCGAGAACATGCGCCGAACCCGATTTGATGGTTGCCAGACCCGAGCCCTCAACCGTAAGCTTTCACTCTGCACCCGAAAACTCTTTGCGGTTCATTAGTAACACATTAGTACAAACGCATCAAAAAAGAACTCCCCGAATCAGGTGAGACAGGCCTTATCGATGTTTTTCATTTTCTGTGCATTTTGCATCTAGTTGAAGGTGGTGGGGTCTAGGCAAGATGTAAGCTTGCAGCAGAAAAATGGGAGCTCCGAGGCAACATTTGAAGAATCCCTTTCCCAGCCGGTCCGGTTTGAGAAAAACACCAAGAGTGGCACAAGACCCTTAAACCGCTTCAGAACCGCTGGCAACCCCGCACGCAACCTTATCAGACCCAACTGTGGAACCAGTGATGCAGGGGCCTTACTAATTAGATTTGGATTTGGGTGGCAAATTTACAAGAGTTATAATGAGCACTCCCCCAAACCCTTTTCTAATTATTAAGGCCCCTCGATCACAGAACCTTATTCTAGATCCTTCACAGAGCCCTTTAAAGGGAGCCCTATTCTAATTATTTAGGCCCTACATGAGCAAGGTCACGCGAAGCTCTTCGCCGCCGTGTCGCTGGAAGCCCGCACCAGGTTGGAGGCGCTGCGAAGCCTCCAAAGAGTAGGGACACAAAAAGGACATAAGCTTTTAACGGTTCCTTTAAGGGTTTCTACAAGGATTCCCATAAGGCTTCCCATAATTGTAGTATAGAGTTGGGACCCAAAGGGGCATAGCTTCCACAGAAGCTTTTCTAAACGGTTTGGGGTTTGTGTTGTAATATAGGGGCCTTGATAATTCGAATAGGGTTCTTATAAAGGGGTCTAGAAGGGTTAGTATGAGGGATACTCTGAGGGTACTTTCATTACCTATACTACTAGGATAGAGTTCCTTTAAGGGGGTGTGTAAAGGCTACTATAAGGACTTTTCAGGATTTAGTATTGGGGACTAAAAATTAACCTATATCATGTTAGTGGGTTCCTTGTTAGTATAATCGGCCCACGAAACCCTATTCTAATTATTTGGGCCCCTATATAAAACGGTTTAGGGTTGTAGGATGTTTTAGGTTTCAGGGTTTAGGTGGTCGAGATGTTTGGGGATGTTTAGGGTTTAGGATGTCTAGGAACCCTCAAGACCAACGGAGCCTTGTTTAAACTTCGTAGAAGCTGCAGGCAAGTTTAAGGGATCATACCTAAACATAAACCTCTCGAAGAAGCTGAAGCAATCTTGTCTAAGCCGCTTGGAAACCCTTAGAGGTTCAAGCAGCCGTATCTAAGCCCACTCTGTGGGATCGAGCGCTAAGGGTAGCGTTTTCCAGCTTACAGATTTCGGGCTTCGGGTTTAGATTTTAGAGTGTAGGGCTTCGGGTTTGCGGCGTGGGGGCAGGGCCCAGGGCAGGTCTAGATTCAAGGCTCCGAGTGCTTTTAAAAAAACAATAATATCTGTATGCCTTTGACTGCCCGTCGGTCTGTCTGTCTGTCTGCCCGTCCGTCGGTCTGTCTGTCGTCTGTCTGTCGGTCCGTCCGTCCGTCTGTCTGTCTGCCCGTTCGTCGGTCTGTCTGTCATCTGTCTGTCGGTCCGTCTTTCCGTCTGTCCGCCCGTCCGCCGGTCTGTCTGTCATCTGTCTGCCGGTCCGTCCGTCCGTCTGTCTGCCCGTCCGTCTGTCCGTCCGTCGGTCTGTATGTCTGTCTGTCTGGTCTGTCCATATATGTATGTCTATGTGTCTGGGGGTGTAACCCTGCTATGGCGGCGAAGAATCCCAAACAGTAGCAGACTTATTCGTAGGACCCCGAGACAAGGCATGAGGTACCTCAGTTTCAGCGCGGGATCATTGCTATAAGACCCCAGCTAATCAAACTCCGAGCCCTAAACCCCTAAAGCCTAAAGCCCTCAACCCTAACCCCTATACCCCTTAGCCCCTAAACTCCTAAACCATCCTAAACCCTAACCCCCTAAACCTTGAACCCCAAACCCTTAACCCTGAAGCC